CATGCATTTTTTAAAAAGTTATAGCAACATAATGCTAAAAAATGTAAAATATAATATCAAGAATTTTTGGTCTTTTTAACGATGAAGACAAGTCCAGCGGTCAAATTTATTTTTTTCAAATTAAAGTATATTACATTAGCTTTAATTTAAGGTATATATAAAAGTGCCAGTCTTTCCGGAACATTTTCAAAAATTAAGTTGAAAAAATTAATTTTTTGTGAAAAAGTTGCCATTTTGAAACTCTCCTGTGGGCTGTTAAAGGGTCAAATGTTCACAAAAATATATAAAATGATAGGTATATATATGAGGTATCTAAAAAAAAAAATTTTGTTGATTCGGTCATTTTTAAAAAGTTATAGCAATTTTAAGTAAAATAAATTTAAAAAATGTCGAAAATTAGGGATTTTAAAATTTGTAATTTTTTGGAAGATTTTCCCCATTTACGGGGAACGAGAGAAATTTTTTCTATTTTTTAGGGTTAATGTCTTCAACTAGATACGATTTGTGATCTTTTAACGTATTGTTCATCAAAATCGGTCCAGCGAGAGCTGAGATTGAGCGTTCAGAGACACAAAGAAAAAATAAAAAAAAACACGTCATAATAAAATTAATACCTTTTCAGCTTCGCATCGAAGCTAAAATATGCTTTAAAAATAATAATAAAACATTTTTTGCAATCTGGGTATATTTTGAACAATTCTACATAACAATTTTTTTTATTCTAAAATGAACTTATTTTAAGAATTTAGACTATTCAATTTAAATTAAATTTTATTTTTCAGTTTAAAATTTTTAGTGTTGTAGTTTTTTCATCTTCATTAAAATGAAAACCTAATGAATCATATAACTCTAACTTAAATATTTCAGCACAACCGTTGAGGGTTTTAAACGCACTTAAAATAATATCTTTTGACTCTAAATTATTTACTTTGCTTTTAAGATATGTAACTTTTTCGTCAAAGTTCATTTCTAGGTTTGAAGGGTAACAAACTTCACTCATGTCTTTTGTAATAACATCATTCCACAAATTAAATATTCCCCAAATTTGATATATATTGAATTTTGAAATTTTTGCAAAATGATTATAAGGATCTTCTGATAAAATTTTTGAAGGTGAAGGTAAAATTACTTTATTTCTAGACATATTTGAAAGAAATTTTAATGAACTTGAAATATACAGAAAAATGGGCATTAAAATTATTACGGCTTCATGTACAACTTGAGTGTATAGGCTAAAGGTGTTTTCATTTTTCATGTATGTTTTGCATTCGCTTGTCATTATAGAAAATATTATACCTACAGTTCTCAATTCATTAAAATACTTACAATATAACAGTTTATAGATTCGATCCAACGTCAAATAAAAAGATTCAATATTGATAACAAGTGTATTAGTATTTTCATCATATAAATCTTTAGGTAAAATATGTTTTCCGTTTTCTTTAACCGCGGGACCGTTTAAATTTTTCCATCCTTCATTATTTAATAAAGCCTTCAACGTTGTTATATTTTTCTCTATATCAATGCACTCCACAAACTCGTTTAATGTAATTAATACTACCAAAGATAATAGCATCATACTCATTTTAAAACTCATTGTTAATTTAAATAGGTTTATATTTTAATTATTAAATAATGTCGATAGAACATTTAAAAATTTAATTTTTAAATAAAAGAACAATTTGTTCCTAAAGGTGTTATATACATAAATTCCATTAATACGACAAGCATTCTTAAAAAACTTGTGTTATTTTTAGTTTATGTTGTGTACATTTTAGAATACAACCAACGTCATTTTAAATTATTTTGAGTTAAATTGTAACTCACAATGTTCATTTTATCTATAATTTATATTATTGATTCAACAGGATGGTTCATAAAATTTATGTTCTAAAATTAAATAATTAAAGAACCTATATTTGTTTAACTACTCGTAAAAATGAAGTACGCACAGTTTCAGATGTATCGGAAAAAATTAACTTGAACTAAAAAGGCCTACTGTAAAAACCTCAATAATTTTTAATAACCATAAATTTTTCGTTTTTTTTAGTACTAATTGCACATTTCATAATAGTTTCAAAAAAAATTGTATAAACCAACAATATTTCAATATACATTTAAAAAAAATTTTTCATATTCTGATATCTGAAATAAAATAGAAAATATCATATATGTTAAACTGTTATAAATAATTTTATTTATTGAGGTTTCAGACAATGTCAAGTATTAAAATAAAACTATAAATAGAATTGAAAGGTCATGTATTATTTTTATACATATACCTATTTATCTACATTATAAAATTTAATGCATATATCATTTATCTAACATTTTATAATATAATATACTAAATAAATAAATTTATTTCATATGTTATTGTAAAATATAGTTAAAAAAAACTGAAAAACACGCTTTTAAAAAGCATATCGAACTAAAAAGTTAAAAATAAATTTAAATTAATCTTGAAACAATAATGAACAAAAAATACTAGTATTATTGTGAAAAAAAATATCGGACGCTCAATATACGAAAAATATTAAAAAAGAATTATGAATATTGTTTATCTGATTTTAAACGATTTAACAATTTTTTTACGTGTAAATTTACTTGGCATATCTAGTAAAAATTGTAAATTTTAAACTTTGTTATTTTCCTCCGAGGCTTTATGTTATCATCTAAACTATAATTGGAAATTTGATAATTGATAACATATTGATATTATTTAACAATTTTAAATCACTATCCTAAAACAAACACCTTAATGTAAATGTTATTAAAAAGAGTTTGGTAATATTATTTTATGGAGGAATAGTATTTTGTAACTGTAGTTAAGTCCCTAAAATATGCCTATACTAAAAACACCATACATGCTTCTATTCACAAAGTAATGAATGATGAAGTATAAAAGGAGTAGAACATTTTTTTTTTTTTGTTAATTTAAATGTGTAAAATTATATTTTATCTTGTATTTTTAATACATTGCCTGAAATATACTTAACAGGTTATTCTATATTATACAGGTATTTATTTAAAATAAAATTATTATATTATAAGAAAAAATTCTAAACTGCATGAAAAATCTAAAAATTTAATATTATAATATTTATTACAGTAGATAATGTATATGTAAATCACATATACACATTATTTTTTATCAAGAGTATGATACGATTTTTAAAAAAAAATTAATGAAAAAAAAAAGAAATGATCAGTTTTACATCTTACTATTTCCCTAACATGCTACACTTTTTCACATATTAGGGAGTCAAAAACGGTTCTTGGTTGATGGACTGAACGGTTATTATGGCTGCCTTCACCAGAAACTAAACATCACTTATATGAAAATCACGAGAAAAATCTCGTTAGCACCGTGGGGATTGAATCAAGAACCCCGTACGCCGAAACATACGTACATATTTCTAAGCTAGATGAGGCTTTGTCGTTGACATTCCAGACAAAAAACCAGAAATTTTTTTTTACTGATATTTCTTATCTTATTCTTTTGTCTATTATGTTTTCTTAAATCTTCATACGACGACTCATAAGCTTTATGCCTCTAATTTCTACACTCCTGTATGCCTCCTTTACCCTCTTATTATCACTTTTTATACGTTTTACATTGTGATAATCTTTAGACCATTTTTGTCTTATTTTTGTAAGTCTATAGATTTTTTACCTTCATTTGTTTCAGGCCTATCATACAACTCATCATGCTTCTTAAACACCGCACACTTGGCTTCTTTACACAAGCGTTTATACTCCATCCAATCTTTTCTTACTTTACACTTTATTCTTTAAGCCTTCTCCGTCTATTTTATTTCCTCTCACCTGTTGTCCATGCGTACATCTGAGTTGGGATAATCCGCCCCAATTTTGTTCAGATACTTTTTGACAAAATTTCTGATAGAGGAGTCGTGGAAGTATTCTTATTTCCTCCCACGGGGAAATGTTTTGGTCTAGTAGTAAATTTAAATTTTAAAGTTAATTCATGTAACTCTAAATACATTATTATCTTATTATGTTAATAGTTCTAATTTATATATGAAATACTATCCTGCCAATTAATTTATGCCCATTGGTAATTTTAATTATATATTCAATAAATCACTTATTTAGATGAATAACTCTCTTTATATTTAAAATTAAATTATTATTTAGTTAGCATTTGTATGCTAAATGATTTTTCTACCTACTCTAAAAATCACTATACATATATAAGACAACATACATTTTGGCGAGCTAATTTGTTAATTAAAAGAGTCATGTATCTTACTGTTACGCCTATTGTGAGGTCTTCATAAATCGTGGTTCCTTAGCCGAGGATCACAGTCTTCTCTTTTAATGCTTGTTCTTTTGAACAATTCGTTGTCTAGATGGTTTTTTTTTAATTTTAACTAACTTTACTTAGAAATTTATTTTAGCTACATTATACATAGGTAAATATTCAAATAAACATTATAGAAGATTTTAATAAACGTGTTTCATTATTTACTTCTTACTTACTTTTGCACATTTTCTTCCTCTATTTATAATTTATAGTAATAAACTTAAATAGAAAATTTCAAAAGAAGCCGCTAATTGTTATTATTTTAAATGGATGTACAGTGGAGCCCCGGTAATCCGACAAACGTTTTGCAGGTCAGTGTCGAACTATCGAATTTGTCGGATTATAGAGTATTCCCTAAGACCTCCTATAGTCCGGAAATTTTAACAAAAGGATACCTTGTAATCCGAAAAATCACAAATCCAAAGATAAGTTTTGGTCTTGATAGGCCCTGGTGTGAAGTATAAATCATGCTTCATTATGTATGTCGACTTAAGTAAATTAAACAACACAATAGAAAGCTTATGTTTTATTATAAAATTAACGTCATTAATGCTAGAGAACTTAAAAAAAACAATAACTTTACATTAAGGAATACAATTACAATGTAATTGTGTTTAAACAAATGTACATACTAAAATATTCAAAAATTATGAATAAAAATCATGATATGAATTTATGAAGCATGAAAATATTTATCAATTTTTTTTTGCTTAACATTATTGAAACGCGAGACCAATGCTCTGTCCCTCAGTCTTCTTAAAAGTAAAAGTTCGTTGTAGGATGCACCATTCTCCTCAGCCCATTGCAAACCCAGTTCAAAGGCGTTAGCTGCATCTTGTGCTATCACTTGCGGAGTAGTTGCAATTACGTCGTCGTCATCTTCCTGATTTATGGTTGTATTACTAGATATCTCTTTTATAATCTCATCGTCAGACATTTCATAAAAAATATTTTCCTCCTTATCCAATCCATGGTACCAGATTTCCAAATCTTGCGATCTTATCTGTGTTTCAGCAGCAACTTTCTCTATTACTTCCGAAGTTACACTGATTTGCGGATCGTTGCTAGGGCTGGTGACTATATCCGGCCATAACTTTTTCCAAGACGATGTAATAGTTGACGAAGGTAATGCATTCCACGATTGACAAAGAGCAAAAACCAAGTCTTTCATATTGAATTCTTTTAAAGTTTTTTCTATTGGCTGATCTTTTGATACAGCTTTCAGAAGTAGATTTTTTTTATAATCTTGCTTGACAAACTGAATGATATGCTGATCCATTGGTTGAATCAGTGCAGTGCAGTTTGGTGGAAGAAACATCGCAGTGATGCATTTATCCTCAGTTGTCAGTTCTTCTTCAGACGGATGACCGGGAGCGTTATCAATAAGCAATAACGCTTTTTGAGGAAAATTATGATTTTTCAACCATTTTTTAACTTCTGGTACAAAGCATTCATCAAACTACTTCTTGAAAAGGTCTTTTGTCATCCACGCACTTTTTTGACCATAATAATGTACAGGCAAATCAATGTTTTTGAATGCACGTGGTTTTATTCGATTTTCCAACGACCACCATTTTTAGCGCGTGTGTACCCGCAGCATTTGCACATGGTAGTATGGTTACACGCTCTTTACTTACTTTTCGCCCAGGTACGGATTTTTCGTTAAAGGAAACGAAAGTTTTGTTTGGTATCACACGCCAAAAAAGTCCTGATTCGTCTGCATTGTACACTTGTGATGGGTTAAGATTTAAATCTTTCACCTTTTGCAAATATCTTAATTTAAATGGCTCTATGCAGGTAGCATCATTAGAAAGTTTCTCTCCTGTTATAGTCATTAAACGTATGCCATGACGACTTTTAAAACGTTCTAACCATCCCTTGCTAGCCACAAAATCATCTTTTTTTATAATTTCCTTATAAAAAAACTTAGCTTTCATGGCCAACATGGGTCCCGAAATTGGAGCATGCCTATTTCTTTCCTGAAGAAACCACATGTACAAAGCTTCTTCCACTTCTGGATGTTCAGCTTTCTTGAGTGTCTGTCTCTTGCCTGGCCCACAGTCAGTAGTTGATACGAAGTTTTTAATCTTCTCATGATTTTTTTTAATATCATAAATTGTAGATCGGCCTACGCCATATTCACTTGCTAAACTACTAAAAGATTCATTACGATTTAAACGGTCTAAAATATCACATTTTTCTTTAATTGTCAGTGTTTTGTGCTTTCGCTTCTGGGCTTGTGACGACATAATTTACTAGGTACGTATACGTAATACACAATGAATAAACAGTACACAAAGAATCTATACTTTGAGCACAATAGTGATGGCACAATTGTAACCTGTTCAATCATGCATTATCTACATTAGCGAAGATTGTAAAAAAAATACCCAATAATAATAGACATGTCGGATTACAAGGGGCGCCGGATTAACCAGGGGCCGGATTACCGGGAGTCCACTGTAATTTATGTCTATCTGCTGAATCCTTATAATACAACGTTACTACTTGTGCAGAACTGGCAGCAAAATTATTTTATTAATATAAATTTAGTATGTATTTATGAACTTATTGATAGATATTTAAGTATCTATCAACATTTACAAATGAGAATTAATTAATAATATTTTTTATTTTTCAGCATAACATTAAATATCATAAATAGTTATTTGAGAAAAAATAAAATATATAATATAAAACATAGAATAACAAATAATCTCATTTTTTTAATTAGTTAATTATTAATCTAAAACATGGATTTGAATAATAAAACACATATATGACAAGTTCAGAAAATAATTATACAATATTAAAGAGCCTAAACAAATGTAATAAATAAATAAACAAATAATTATTTCCAAAAAATAATTTTAAAAATAAATAATAAATATTTTTTTTTTTTTATTGAGCCTTTAATTTTAACCACCCTCACAAACAACTGCATCAGAAAACAAACGACTGTGTTAAGTGAACATCTCTTTTTTTGTTACCTCTGGAATTTTAGAAGTTAAAATATCTAAAAAACAATAAGAAAAAGTATAATATTTTGTTACCAAACTTATGTTATAGATAATACCTATTAAATGACAATAAGTTTGTGAAAAATTACATTTTTTTATTCCTTTCTACGCCCTTCCAAAAGCACTGAATGCTAATTGTACATCTTTATTCATAATAAGATATAAAATTGTAGTTTTCAGAAAATTTTGCACCTTAATTGACATTTATAATTGTAAAACATTTTTAAATTATCTTAATATGAAAAAAATAATATTAATATAACAGAAATTCTTATAAAATTTGTTCATTATATTTAAATCAGTTTTTAACTGATCATCAAATTCAAAAAATTATTCAACTGTTGTTCTTGTTAACAACAATTTGTTACCAAGTTGTTAGTACTGGATTAGTACCAACTGGACAAGTTGTTTTACAGTGGTCAAAGTCACATATTGATGAGGCACAACAAAGACACAATATAACTGTGTACCCAACAATTATTATGACCAAGTCTTTACCAAGGTTTTGTTATGGATTAAAATATTAAAATATAACTGGATCACTTAAATTATTTTAATTTTAAGAAGTAATTACAACTTAATATTTAAATTCATTTTTAGATATAATTATACCCACAAATTCTTCACAAGCAGTATCTGAAAATCCACATGTTGCATATTTTTTATTGTATTCAAACAATATCTTGATTTGTAAAATTTGTTTTATTAATTGTATGAAAAGATATACATATAACATTGCATTGTTATATGCATGTAAAATAAAATAAATTAAAAATACTTAAGGCTACTATTGATAAGATATTTTTCTATTTAATTCTAAATCTGATTTAAAGGAATCAATGATTTCATTTAATGACATGTCGTCAAACTGTAAATTTTCATCGTCATCTGTAATAATAACAATTATTCTTTAAACTATCATATTTTACACATACAAATTAATATATTTACCATTGTTAACTATTTGTGTCAATGGACCACTGATACAAGGAATACTATTTAGACTCTTTTGCAACATTGTACCAAATAACTATTCAAGACCCTCTTTTAAGCTGTGTTCATCTTCTAAACTGCTATGGATAACATAAAAAGAAAATGTTTTGTTTTTGTGCCTTATCCTTTGATTATAATTATCTGAAAATTAAAAAACAGAAAATTCAATAGAAATATTATGTATACCTGGTGTCTAGTATATAAGGAAATAGGTTTCTATTGATCTCTTTGTTAGTAACATCAGACCTGTTATTTACTTAATGAACATCGCATAATTAAAATAAATAAAATATAAAGCATTTTTTAATAATGCTAACTCAATTTAGTATTATATTTGGTGGAGTTTTTACAAAGTTTATCTATTTTGTAAGTTATTTTTATTAGGATGTTTATAATACAATTGATTTTTTCTTGAATGTTTAATAAACAGGTACAAGATCAATTGTAATTTTACAATTTTTATTTTTCCAATGAATTGAATAATCAAATGATAAATTTCTTTTTATATATCCATTATATTTTTGTAAAATTATAAGAAAATTAAAGACTGAAAAATTTATATATAATACTAGTCAATTATTTTATAAACATCATAGGATTAGAAGGGAGCTAAATAAAAATAAATAGTTAGATAATCCTATTTAATCTCCGTTAATGAAATAATTGTTAAAAAGAAAGCATATACATGTTTGAGAATGTATTCAACTTAAAAGAAAAAGTTTAATTTAATTTTGAGTAAGTTTTGATTTTCTATTAATTTTATTAGTTGAACCAATTAATTGCTATAATATCTATTTTGTATTTCTTAAATATAAAAAACACATTGAATCTAAAAATACTGAACCACAGGATCAAAGTGAAGAATATCTAACAATAATTAACTTTCATTTATGTAATTTTGAGGTTAGCTTTGATTAAAAAAACTTATTTTAGTATGTTATAGTCAATCTTTGATTGAATAAATTCTTCTTTTATTAGCTTCGATGCAAAGCTGAGAAGATATTGGTTTTACTATGATGTGTTTTTTTTTTTTTTGTGTCTGTTACCACTTTTTCTCGGCTCTCACCGAACGGATTTCTTTCAACGATACGTCAAAAGATCACAAATCCTATCTAGTCAAAGACATTACCCTCAAAAATTGAAAAAATTTCCCTCGTTCCCCGCAAATGGGAGAAATCTCCAAAATAATTACAAAATTTTTAGCGAAAGCTTTAGCTGAGAAGTTATTTTTTTGTGACTATCATTTATTTTCTCTGCTCTAACTTGACCTACTTTTTTCAACGATACGTCAAATGACTACAATTCGTATCTAGTTGAAGATATTACCCTCAAAAATTGAAAAAAAAATCTAATTTATCAATTAAACAGTTAGTTCATAACATTCTAATATATGGAAAATTAAATTCGTAGAAAGGAATTATATATAAAAAAAAAATCAAAAGTTTTGCCGGCCGCAGCGCTCCTTCAAATTGTGGCGCCCCTAGGCTATAGCCTAGCCCTAAATCTAGCCCTGACGGTAATCATCCTTAGATACAAATCTTCTAACTTGTATTGATCACATTTGTGAAAACTAAATCTAGTAGGAAGTCAAATTTATTATGGGAAGTATTTTGTTGACAGAGACCTAAAAATTCATATACAAATTTAAAAATCGCCAATTTTCGAAATTTTTACAATTTTTTTTACTAAAAACTGCCGTAACTTTTTCAAAATTGAATATATCAATAAAATTTTTTTTTTTATAGATGCTTGATGTTTTTAACTATCATTTGATATATTTTTTTTGTAAATTCGACCCTTTACCTGCCCACAGGGATGATTTAAAATGACAACTTTTTCACAAAAAATTAATTTTTTTAACTTAAATTTTGAAATTGTTCCAGAAAGTCTGACACTTTTATATATATATTAAATTAAAGTTAATGTAATATACTTTATCATGAAAAAAAAAAATTCGGACTTTATCTTATCTTCACGGTGAAAATGACTACCGAATGCTATTTTTGTGTGAAAATTTTCGATTTTGTATTTTCCATTTCCAACTTTATTATGCTATAACTTTTTGAAAAATGTATGGATCAATACAATTTTTTCATGAGAAGTAGTATTTATATACATCTTTCATTCGACATACTGTTTTTTTAAATCGGACCATTTCCCTATATACGAGGGGGGTTTAAATCTAAAAAATGCATATAGAAAGTAGAACTTTTTCAACTAAACTTTTGTAAGTGTTCCGGAAAGTCTGACACTTTTATATATATCTTAATCATGCTACGCCATGACGGTATACATTATCTAAAATAATAATCGGCGATGGCGTTCGTATAAATTGTGTCGAGCAACTAAATCAAGGAAACGTATTATTAATTAATAATTCTTATTTTTTATAATGGTGCAAATTTTTGCTGTTTACATTAATAAGTTGACAATTGTATTTACTAAATTAACAGTTTATTAACAGAATAAAAATATAATTATAATTTTTTATTATTATTCATTAGTTATAATTTATGCAAGATTGATTTTTTTATCATCATAATTTAAACTACAAAATTTCAATACATAATTTTTTTACATTGACTTTTAAATACTTTTAAAGTAACTATACATTATACTTTAGGAAATAAAAATTTTTAAGTAAATTGGGAGGGGGTGATCAGCTTAGCTCTCATTCTATGTGTGTTTTAAAAAGTGAGCGTTTGTTCCTTATTAGCCTAGGGGCACTTTTTGGGTAAATCCGGCCTTGATTACCGTACTGTGTTAAACTTAGTAAGCCCCTTTAAAACTAATTGTCAAATAAACGCTTTTTATTTTATAAAGCCGATTATGATACTATTGTTAAATCACTTATTCTAATACACTGTTTTACACGATAACTCGCTGTATTATGTTAGTAAACATAATTTTTCTATTTAGTTTAACAAGTAATTGCTCACTCTAATTGATGAAAATAATAAAGCACATATACTATTTTTAAAACAACTGAAATAACATTAACTATTGAATTGTTTTTAAATTTGAGAGCTCGTTGTAAAAAAATGTCAAAAAACTGTAATAATTAATATTTTGAGAAAAGCGCGTATTTCTACACAGTATTCTTCAGACTGAGTTATTAAATTAAAAAAATTGTATGAGAAATGGAGAAAGTTGGACAAAAATAAATCTAGAAAAACAGAAACACAAGAACTACATTATAATATTTTTTCTGAAGAATTAGACAACCTCTTTGACATTTCTCATATCGAAGCTCTGAATATGATGAGTATTGAAGAAGACAAACAGTTTTTATTGTCACAACTTAAAAAAGGCCGCCCAGGGTGCATGCTTGGTATTGATACGAAGTTAACAGGTATTGAAAAACGTAAAATTACTCGACAAGAAGAAGAAAATGATCGAAAGAAAAAAGAGAAGTTAGAAATCGCAAATTGTATATGTAATTATTAAATATTACACAATAATTTCAGTACATTATAAGTAAGCAGTTTTTATATACCGAAGTATTTTATTATTTAGCCGAAGCTCAATATTACAGCAGCTCTAGGTCGGAGGAAGAAGATATTGATATGGAGGAAAACGTTGAAGAAATGAGTCAATTACCTGGGCCTTCAAAAGAAGTAAACGCACTAGAAGATATATGTTGTTTTGTAGTTGAATGTTATATTAAAATGTGGTTTTCAGCTGCGAATATTATAACAGCTCCTATAAATGATTTAATATTATTAAAAAAGTTATTAAATTACAGTAATAATAAACTAGGAGAAGTAGCTATAAAAAAATTTATAAACCATTTATGGTATTTAAATGATGAGTGTGCTGTGTTTTCTTTATTTGATGATCGACTTGACATTAATACTAAACAGCGAATGGCAAAAAAATATTAAAAGGTTATGAACAGAGCACGAATGATGAGCCACAACAAAATGAAGATTCAAATAAAAAATTAATTTTAAAATATGAAGATTTATCAGATTTTCTAGAAAAAGATCTTCCTTTTTCGTTGCTCAGCAACAATTCATAGAAATTATTCGAGCGATTTAAATTAAAATTCAAGTATTTATATGAATCTCCTACCACATGGGAAATAAATAATTCTATAAATAAATAAATAATAAATAANGGAGATTTCTCAATTTCTTGATTTTTAATATTTCTTAAGTGCTCTTTAAACCTGACCCCTATATTTCTTTTTGTTTGTCCTACGTAACATTTATTACAACTTTCACATTGTATTTTATAAATGCCTGATTTCCCCCCTTCATCTACCTTATCTTTAGGGTTACCTAATAAATCTCTTAAATTATTACTCTTAGATGTTACCAAAGTAATACCAAAATTCTTAAATATTTTAGTTAATCCATTTGAGATGCCCGGATAATATAAAATTGGTGATCTAATTACTTTTTGTTCCCCCTCGCTGGTGAGTGTACTAGCCACCCTCCTTTTATTTTTTCCACTTTTATTTTCGTTATACCCATTAAATTTAGCTATTTCTTTTATAACCACCAATTCTTTATCAAAATCTATTTTATTCATCGGAATAATAATTAATCTGTAAACCATACTATTAAAAGCTGACAATTTGTGTAGCCACGTGTGGTTCGATGTGTTCGGAATGTATCTGAACGTGTGTGTGTTTTTCCGATAAATTTCAAAATTTAGTTTCCCCTCTGTTCTTTTAACTAATAAATCCAAAAAAGGCAATTTTTTAAATTTAATAACACAGTCTGAAGAATACTGTGTAGAAATACGCGCTTTTCTCCAAAATATTAAACACTCATCTATTACAATTATTATTTTATTGTGTTTCTTGCTTTTTTATTATTTAATATAACTAAAAATATTAGTTAATTTATGAACAAAAAAACATTCATGCAAAAAAAATTAAAAAAAAAACATGTTTTCGTAGTTGTTTTAAATTTTTATTTGGAAAGGATTCATAATTCGAAAAAAACTCAAACTAACTTTTTTATAGAAAATATCACGGTGATTAATATTACTTCTGTACAATTTCTGCGCACAATTAATATTTAAGACACTGGAAAAATATAACTGAAAACTATGTCATTTTTTTTAAAAATTAAGTGAAAATTTTTTTTTTATTTTTACGAAAAAATATTAATTTTACAAAAAAATAATTTATTACCTTATTTTTTGTTCACATTGAGTTCTATAAAATTGTTCTCTGTGTTTTTGGCGAAACTTCAAAAATAAAGAGCGTACACTCAAAAAAAGAAAATCCACCCCATTTTTGAAGAATTTCAACCCCTTTGAGGCACGTGAAGGGGTTGACCTATTGTACTCAAATTTTACCAGTTTCATTTTTTCAGTGAACCTAACGAAATTTTGAGCCCATGACTCTGAATTTATGAAGTTGAAAAATAAGGACCACCCTAATATATATATTGCAATTTTCAGTTAATAAACAGTTTATTTAATGTTACTTTTTTGTAATTAATTTTTTTGGCCCCCCCCCTGATAAATTTCCTGCGGGCGCCCATGCTCGTAGTGCTTAACTCAACCTTAGTACTTTTGGATTTGGAATATGAATAGTGTAAAATAAAAACCAAGCTTGGTTTAATTGGATAAATTAAAAAAAAATCCGAAGGAAATGTTTACAATATATAGCACATAAAATTAATATGAGTGGCTATCTAATTGCAGATATTAAGCGTTATTGTAACTTGAGCTCGTTAAAAAATAGACGTTTATATGTAAATACTCATTTCATTTTTAACGGTTTAGTTAATAGGCCGGATCTTCTAGGGAGAGTATATCTCGTAGTGCCTAGTATAAATACTCAGCACCATAATATTTTTTTATTCAACATTAGTCATCAATTATGTTACAAATAGCTATTATATTTATGGCTGTTTATTAGGAATAATAAATGAAATACAAGTTGATTTTGCTTTTGGAATAATCCACCAATTTCTTAAAATTAAACACTATCTATAGATGTGCATCGAAAAGTTTCTTATGATAGTGATTTTAATCACTGTCAGATATAATCTATACTTGTCTCAACTATGCCACGTCCACACAGTGTCGCAATATTTATGGGAGAGTATATCTCGTAGTGCCTAGTGTAAATATTCAACACCATAATATTTTTTTTTGCTCAACATTAGTCAAAAATTATATACAAATAGCCCTACTACATATTATGTGCTAAATCTATGTAATAAATAATCTGATTTTGATTTTTAAATGTAATCTGATTGTTATAATTATATGTATAATATAGTTTATCTTTACTCATTTGGCCCTACGGACATTTTTTATTAGTAAAAAAAAGTTTTAAATTTAAAAAAAAATGCTTAAATGTCTCCGGGAATCGAACCCGATCTTATATATATACATATATGTATATAGAGAGCGTGAGGCATACGCGTTACCAACCGTATGACCTACACATTAGTTAAATCGGTAATCCCATCATCATGACCTCCCCTTGTAGATAAATTTCAAATATACTTTACCTGGTGTATCATTCTTTTTCTTAAAAAATTGTATAAATTTACGTAAGCTCATGTACAATGAGTTCTTCGATTTCATTATCCTTATAAAATATCACTTATTCATTGCTTTATAACACTTTACAAAAATGAATATTGAAATCTGTGTACTATTAACAAATGTAGGGAAAAGTAACCATGGTAATTAATTATTATTTATAAATTACTGTCTAAGAAGGTAGTAATTTATGATAATAAATCACAATACTAGAACCCTTCAGTTTTAGTTAACTAAATTAATAATAACTTTTTTTAATTTTCTCTTACAAAAAAAAAATAATTAATAAAGTAGGTCAAACAAGATTTCTACTTAACTGAATAAAAAATTCTTTGATCCATCCTAGTTATTTATTTACTCCAAGTATTAATTATTATTATTTAACCAATTACGAAGAGAGGGTTGCAAAAAAATTATGGTTAAAATCAGATTTGATTGTCAAATAAACTTGCATATTTATCTAATTATAATTATTTATCTTTAAACATTTGGTTTAAACGACGTAGGAGAGGATGGGGGTAGCTTTTTCGTAATCTTTTCTGTATGAAATAGTAATATTGTGACGACTTGAAAACAAAAAGTATGTAACCAATATTACCATCAAGTAACTGATACCCAGCAAACGTCACAACATAATGCGATTTCTAAAACGTCTTCCGACACTGAATTTAGTGGTATTCAAAGTATGGTGAGATTTATGTTCTAATATGCAAACAATTTAGCATTAGCATATCGGGGTAAGGAAATAGGGATATTGAGAGAGCGCGACATGATAACTTAATGATAATAAATAACTATTTCTATAAGAGGTGGCTAAACCTAAACACAAATAAAGCAGAGGTTTGTGCATTTCATTTGAACAACAGAGCTACAGGTGTAGTTTAATGGAGTGCTGATGAAATAAAATTTTACGACAAAATACTTGAGGGTGACATTAGATAGATAATCTTTTAAAAAACACCTAGAAATATAAAAGAAGAGAATAAAATCAAGAGTGATCCTAATAACAAAAGTTCAGTAGTAAGGGTGGGTTGTGGATTCTAAACAGAGTGTACTTAAAATAAATGTAATCTAAACAGCTAAAAATTTTTCACTGTGTGGATTTATAGTTCATATACTAAGAAAGTTGACTTTCAACTTAACAGTACCACGGGTTGATCAGCAGCATTTTAATAAATTCAACTCTTCTGGAATGTCTACCAGTTATTGCGTCACCTAACATCATAAGAATGAATATTCTGATTAAAATAATAACTATAAACGAGATATTAAAAAATTCTATGTTATCCCAAATGCTTGAAAAAAAATGGCATTACGCTTAAAATTAAGTAAACCTCATTGGACTATGGACAACTTAGACATTCCATCTTTAATGCAAGTGACATACTGAATAGGCTAATTCATAGGTTATAACTCTAATATGATTTTCGATCCCTGCAAACCATTAACAGAATTTGATTTTGTTCGACCTTAAACTAGCTTAGAAATAGTGTTGAGAGTTGTAGCTGGATGATAAATGAAAAATGATCTGAGGAAGTACTTAAATAGATATAAACCGCTGTAATTATTTATTTAAAGATCATTATCTATATAACTTTTTGAAAATTCAATAAATTATAAGATTCTTTTAAAATTTACACTTTTCAATTTTCAGTTTTTAATTATATGTGAATAAATATGATCTTACTAAATTTATTTTTAACCCATCCTCTTCTGTAATTCATATTTTTCTATACAGCTTATATCTTCTAGTCTAAATGATAATAGAGCATTTTCAAATAAAACTTCATTTAAATTATTATCTAAATAAAACATTATTCAAATAATGATATTTCAAAACTATTCAAATACATTTTTATGTAGTTAATTATGTTAGAAAATAATTTTTTATTTGAACAATAATGTGTGCAAATTATTCAAATAAAGTTTCATTTCATTAATTGTTAAAAAATCATTGGAATAATTTTTTGTTGAAATAAGTATTTATTCAAATGATCTAGATGAAAATTCGCCTAATTCTCATGGGTGTAGATTATTGGTTTAGTGGCTTAGCTTTTCCAGAAATTTACAAAATTATATGTTATGTTTTATAAAAATTGTTTTTTGTAAGCGGAAAAGTTAAATGGCAGTCCCCAAAAAATTTGACTTCTCTACACTTATATTAATCATTTTTTGTATATATGTATCTAACTATATATAACTATCTAATTTTCATTTTTAAATACACTCTCTTATTTTATAAAAATAATTACATTTTTTCAGCGTATCTGTTTTTAAACCATCGAAACAATATATCTAATACATTACATAAACTATTTTTTATTAATTATTGTAGCAAATCTTTAATAAACAAAAATGATCCATAATTATACATATTTTTCGTCATGTTTAACTGTAAAGCAACTCGAAACTATTTCGAAATAAAAATATGATTCACTTAAATTTATTACATAAATTACACGTATAAGTGTTTTACTTTAAAATTGTAAGTGCAATCTTTCAAGAGAATATTCGTTTCATAGATATTTGGATTATTCTTGAAGTAGTTTTGTCTTTTCACTTTAATTTCTTAATTTTTTTTACGATTTACTAGGTATACGATATTTTAATTTGCTTAAACAACTTTTACATAAATATTATCATCATATCTACTAGTAATGCAGTATATTTACAACAGTAAAATTCCTCATAAAAATCGTATGATACAAATGCCCCCAATTGGAATTTAATGTCAATCTTCTTTTTATCGGGAAATTTTTTCCATTTTCAATCAAAAATTTAACGAAACTCACCCAAAACCTCAAATTATTTGGCACTAACACAATGAAAAATGAAATGAATAATACAGCCGTACTCGAAAAGTGACGTCTTGGAATAGGAAAATCTATGAAATCAAGCAGCAACATGACATAAGATTGGTGGTATTCGGAAAGAAATTAGTGGCCTGATAACAAACTTGGTTACTACACCATAACATCTTCAAAGCACAACTTGAACGTCGGATCAGAACACGAGGCATAATAATGTATCTGGCATACACGCTTTACTGTGACGGCTAATTGACACCGCAACACGTTTCACTAATTACACGAGGCATAGTGGACATCGTCGCCAGCCTGATCGCTGTTCGCACATAGGCAGCACTATCATCATTGAACAATAGTTGATTTTTCATGTTATTGTGAATGGACGAGTGGTCGGCGGCATGTACATTTTACTTTATTGAAGAAACTCTAAAAGTTTTTTTTTTCTGTATTGCGCTAATTACAATTCTTTTGGTTTTTGGCTAGTTATAATTATTTGTACCGCAAATAAGCGTATGAAATTATCCGTAATATTTGTTCCTACTAATTAACTTTAAGACCACCTATACGACTTGTAATATTAACATAATAGTAACTACCAAACTACTTTTTAGCAATATTTAGTCATTTATAGAGTATTTAGCTTTTAACATAGTTGTAAGAGTATTTTCTGTTGTATTGCGCGTTTTCTGTGTTCTTTTTAGGGTAGGTCAAGTGAGCATCCCGGGCAGGCAGTTATATATATGGTAAGTATTTTTATTTTTATTTTTAATAACTGCATAGGCAAAAAGTAGGGGAATCTGGCAATAATGGTCATAGAAAATTTGCTAATGTGAAGGTGAGTCTAGTATAAAAAAAATTTTACAAGCCACAAAAAATTTTTACAATAACAATCATTAACAAAAGAATTATTTTTAAATTACAACAAAAGATTTACAAATATTTACAAAAATATTATGAGATAGCCAATATTATTTCATAGTAAAAAGTATTTAAAAAGTAGATCTTGAGGGTAAATGAGTGATAAATATAAATAGCTACATCGTTTAAATATGCATTTAAATTAAAATTAAAAATTAAATAAGTAAAAGATAGTGTCACTGCATAAGTTTTTAAGAAAAATTATTTATAAAAAATAACTTTTGATATATATTTATACGTATATTTAGTAACTTCTTCGCTTAATTATGCATACATACAAGTATACCTATTTATTTAAATTTATAAAAAGCAAAAATTATTTACAATAAGTTTCTCAATAAGCTAGGATTAGTTAGGAAAATTACCGAGGAAATCTCGGTGTCACATTTAATTAGAGACTTATAGAACAAATTTATTCTATTTTATAAATTATTCAAGATTATAGCTATTTTCTAAAAGCTAATGTCAATTTTACCCATTTTTTAAACTAATATAAACACATTTAAAATTGAAAAATGATGACCAAAAAAAGGGTCATCGAAGGACTTTAAGTCAGGTGCAAGCGGGTCTTTTAATTCTAATCCGACGATGAGTTCGCCATTGGCAAACTGTCCAGACATGTTATAAGTAGCGATGGGAAATATTGAATAGTAACTATCGAAATATTCGATAGTTACCTAATATATTCGAATAGTTTATGTTAAAAATAAACTATTCGATTGTATAAACACAATTCAAATAGTTATTCGATACTTTAAAATATTTGAAAATGCCCATCACTAATTTTTGCTATTATTAATTGTATAATAATTTATTTTAAGTACTCTTTAATTATCTTCTTATTGTAATTAAGTCTACCTAATAAAAATTTTAGGTAGAACTAATTGAATATATTTTTTTTAAACTATTCGATAGTTTAAAATATTCGAAAATGCCCATCACTAGTTATAAGTCTTTAAGTTATGAAATGAGGCCTCACATTTGTTTTCCGTAAAACTACAAAGATATAATTATTCTATTATGAAAAATAAAATATGAAATTAATTGTTTACATTTTATTTTATTTAATTTGAAGCTCGTTATATATATAAAAGTTGATTCTTTTATCATTGGCCTAGTTCTAAAATAATATACTATCAATAAATATTATTTTAGTTTGTTTTAGTTACATATTTTTCTGAATTTAACAATAAATACTTATGATTGAAAAATTGATCTAAAAGAAACCAACAAGTTAATTCCTGACAGTATATTTTTTGATTAGGAGGTCAATGATATAAATGTCGTCCTATAAACAAATATTGTATGGTTCGAGTATTTGAATGGTCGAATAACATGTGAACCCGAAAAAATAAAATCAATTCATTCTGGTAATAAGTCACCGTTACATATATTACATTTTACAAAAATTATGACTTTTTAATTCAAGTCTTTGACAATTAACACAATAAGAAAAATAAAATGAAATTCTTAATCCCCCCTTTAAAATACAATCAAAGTTAAATATTTAACAATAAATAAAATACAAAAGACCTGGAAATTCAGTATGGGCAGCGTTTCACCATTGAAAAACTACAAATAATTGTTATATTCTTATTATCTAAAAATAAATTATGAGATATTACACTAATTAAAGACATACATTTTATAAATATTATCTCTTCATCATTATAATTAATATTAGCTGTACAATTCACTCATACGTAAAAATAATATTTTATTGAAAAAGTTATACTCAAAGAGTAATTTTAGTGTTAAAGATATATCATTACAAAAGTTAATAAAATAAACAAGTTTTATTTAAAAAAATTTATATTTTGATGAAACGCTACAATTAAGTTCTAGTATAAGTATTCATTCTTCGGTTAAATGATCTTCAAAGTAGATTAATTTAACCAAAAATTAATAGGGATATACTTTTCTAAAAATTAATACATTTATTTTAATAATTTAACTAGTAAGACATGATACAAGTATATTGAAGTAGACATTGATTCAATAATTTGACAGTTATATAAAATTATTTAAATAATTTTTAGGAACATAAAAAAATGTCTTTTTTAATAATTAATTGATCTTGCCTATTTAAAAATATATACATAGACATTTAAAGAGTATTTATTTGACTTTAAAAATAATTTATTCAAAATAACAGTCATATTTTAATGGCAGTGCAAATTTACAAAATTGTTTATTTTATAAAAATAAGTTAAATTTTAAAATCAAGTATTTATAAACATTCACATATTTGTACTTATAAATAACTTCCTGTATATTAATAAAATGGGAAGAAATAAATATATAAGTTTACATTAAAGTATTATTATTATACACTGAGCACATTAGTTAAATCATTTAAAAAAATTGTATAGCTTTTTAAAAAAGTATCAATCAAATTAACTCATTTGTTGCTTGATTTAAATTTAAATTAAAATATTTACATCATATCTTACTTTAAAAATTTATAGTATGAACATAAAATATGTGCGTACGAAAATATACAAGTCTTGTGAAGTATGTAACAATAAAATTATAATACAGTACTTATTTTCGAGATCTAAAACACATTTTAAACCATTAAAATGCATAAAACTATAGTAAGCGTGTTTTATTAACCCAAGTCAGAATAATAATGTACAAAATCCGTTATAATGTGCAAAAACATTTTCCTTTCATCACAATGTTTAACATTTTCAGACAATTTCATTAAAAAAATTTAGATAAACATGAAATCAGTCTTACCATAAGTTCTTTGTTTTGAGTAAAAAGTAAGTAACATAAAACTTGTTTTAAAACTATTTAATTATCTATATATTACACTAAAGAACTCAAATGGCCTAGGTAAAAAAAATTAATTAATATTTTATTCTAAAAAAATTATTTGAGACTTAAGTTAACTTTAAAAACATAGCAATCAGTATACAGAACATAATCACTTATTTAATAGTAGGCCAAGTCATTAACATATACACATACCCATAAAATTTAATTTATTTAAACATATCAAATAATTTATGCTATTTAAGATAATAATGTGTCCAAATAAATGAGAATAACCATTAATTTATAATTTTAGTAGTAGGTTATATTAAATAACCTTAATTTTATGGACTGTTATGTATGTTTCAACTTAGAAATCTATAAATAAAATTAAAACTAAAATACATCAGTATGAACACATTCCATATTTCTTAATAACATACAAGTAATATTTCTCTTACTACATATAGATCACATATTACTTACATTTTTAGTAGATACAACACACTATAAAATATTGTGTAGCCTGTAAATTCACTAATACAATATGAAAAACAAATAATAAAATAATATCCTTTATACAATTTAAAAAAAAACCAATAGACTGTGATAAAACATATACATTAGCAGTCAATTTATCTACTTCATTGTCGTACAAAATAATTTTACATCATATAACCACTAATGACTTATGTTTAATTTTTTTATTAATTCAACTTACAACACAAAAAGAAAAGAGTTATCTCGTTATCACAGTCATTTTTAAACTTTTATTTATTCTAATAAATTCTTATTTTTCCTAGTGAAAGAGAAGTATAAGAAATTTAAAATAAAACTCACATTAGAAACAGTTAATAAAAAGAATAAGATTGGTTTGAGTAATAAAACCTATAAAAACAGTCTCCTATTGTTATTAAATTTGTTTAATTAAAATACATCAATAAACTTAATTTATTCACAAATCATATAAAAAATTCAGTCCCATCTGATTAAAAACTCTTCTGATCCATCTGGATTAATTCTTTTACAAAGTATAGTATATTCTTCACCGTTAGCAATTCTATTACTAGCACCAAAATATGAGTGCACCAGTGTTTTAAGATCACTTGGAGAATCAACAGTATTTTCAGGTGAACTAGGTCTATTGACTGAATGACTATGATTAGCAAAAAATTCAGAATAAGATTTATACATTATTCTACCATTAAAATTATTTTTTGACTGACGTTTTGTAGGTGTCAAACTACCATTTGTAAAACCATTGCGCCGAAGTCTTTTACGTTTCACCAAACATTTACCATTATGATCTATACGTAAATCTTTTTCACTTAAACGACGTTTTGTAGTACGCACCTGAGGTCCTTGAGTAATTACAGGTGCTAAGGAAAGTGGTAATGTAATAGAAGAAGCTGCTCGCGTTTCACGTGGATGTGCAGAGCCATTAATAGGTCTTCCACTAAGTAATCGATTAACACTTAATCTTTGACTTCGGCGACTTTGCAGATCAGCTGTACGTAATGAATCTGCATCGGCATCATCTTCATCATCTAAATCTTCATAGTCTGCATCTTCTTCATTACTTAGTTCTTCTTCAGATGCTGTTAAAGATTTTTCAGGAGTGCTTTCGGTTGATCTAGATGGTGATCTGCTTTCAGGAACTTTTTCTTTTTTCATTGGTTTCTTAATAAAATATTTGAATATTTTTAAAGTACTGTTTGTATAAATTATTTAATATAATACTCACTTTTAATTTATTGGGAACCATGTTACAATTTCTAGAAGTTCGCTTATTTGATTCTATTTGTTGTTGCCTTATTCTTTTTTCAATAATAGATCTTGGGGCTGGAACAATTGGTGCCGCACTTTTAATACAAACCTAAATTTAACATTTAAAAATAACTATTATAAGTCTTAGATTATTTTTAAAATTAAAATTCTTTATTTATTTTATGCTTTAAAAGTAAAATTACATTGTGTCCTATAGATGGTAGGCCTTTTGGTAACATGACAACAGGAGAATCTTGATGCAAAAACTTCAATCCTTCTACAGTATACATAGAATCATTAAGTTGCCGGTTCACTATATAATCAGTCCTGAAAAATAAAATTAGATTATATATATATTTAAAGACACTTAAAATATCAAAGTAAAATTTTGATGACAAAAATAACTAATTTAGATATCATCTTTCTCTTGTGATGGGAATAGTGACTGAAATATATCTTTTTATGTCAAAAAAAAATCATTAAAATTATTTTTATAAATATTAGGACATAATTAATTTTAATATTAGAATTTAATTTCAAAAAACTGACAATATTAAAAATTTATTATAATCATTTTAAATTATAAAAAAAACAATTATCAATGAAGTATTAATCCAAAAAATATGTAAGTAAATTTTAGATTATAATAATAAGATTAGTATTTCAAAAACAGGAAATTATTATTTATCACTAGCTACATGTGTTTTTACTATGCTTTCCCCAATTGAAAGTATTAAACATCCAGGATGTTAAAAAAACTACTTGTTACAATAAACTAGCAGCAGTGGTTTTAATTTAATATTGTTAAAAACAAATGAAAAAAAATCAAAATATAACTACCATTAAAAAAAAAAGAAAACATAAATTATAGCACAATTTTTCTAGTCATGAAGCAACATAATACCAAAATTCCTCAATACAATACAATAAAATACTTAAAACATATTACCCATGTTATCAAAAAAGTTAAATAAAAGAAATTTAAATACATTTTATTAGTTATTTTTTATTTATTTTCTATCAAATATAATATTAATTCAAATACATACTTTTTGGGAGGTGGTAATATATTAAGATTGAGCCTGTGTTGTAATTTATGATGTAAAATATCTTCAGTAAATGAAACTTGTGTGGGTAATGAAAAACGTGGAGGTTTAGGTGGAAGCTTAAGTCGGAGTCCCCACATATTAGCAGGCTTTTTACCTTGAAATTCGAATCTACTAAAAATTAAAATTAAAAATTAATATAATACCTCATTTAAATTTGAAGTAATGTAAAATTTTAACTTTTATATAAAACATATTAAACAAGAAAAATGTGAATATAAATAAATAATAAAAACTTAAAAAACAACTTTAACAACTTACTGATTGGTATCTCTTAAAAGAGCATTGACAATATATATTTTCCTGTTTTCTATAGGAACATCTAATATCTAAAAATAAAGATTTAAACATTTTAAAATTATTAAAAACAATAGTTAAAACTATTCATCAAAATAAAAAATATATTTATATCCATACACACAATGTACACAAAGTGATTGATTAAGGATAAAACAATAATTTTCATAAAACTATATTAACATTTTTCAATTTTTGGAAAGGAAAAAAATTGTTTGATTTTAATAACAACAATAATATGTAATTAAATATTTTTTTTATCGCTTCAGGCAAAAAAAATCTCAAATTTGATTTTTTTTTTTTTTTAATCACCTTTACAGTTTGATATAAGAAAAAAAATTTTAAAATGCTTTTCTTATAATTTTTTATATACTATAAACCATTTTTCTATTATTGCTTGATAAAGTTAAGCTATTTTGGACCAATTTGCTATTGATAACTTGCTGTTTAACAGAAAACATAATTTTTTCATGTCATCATGTAAACATGTTTTTAATTTTAAATCTATCATTTATGATAAGAATAAATACCGATATTAATTTATCATCCATCGAAACAGTTCCATTATTATGATAACCAAATTAGTGATAAAGTATTTTAAATCGAAATCTTTCAATAACTAAAAAAAAAAATTTTCTATCATTAAATTAAAAACAACAATTCTCATTGAAATGTATTAAATTTCTGGTTTTTTATCCTTGAAGGGATGAAAAAAATGATTTTACTACATATAATAGTACATTTTTTTGAATTAAAAATTTTCTTTCACAAAAATTGAAAATATTCAATTATTTCTGAAAAAATAATTGTTTTGACCTCAATTATCCTCTGCATATATAGAATATATAAGATCTAATGCTAATTTTTGATACAATGTATACAATAAAAATTACTTTTTGATAAAAGGGCATATGTTACATTATAACATTATGAATGATATATTATATAATATGTTAAAAAAGTGAAACTTTTTTAAAGAGGGTCAGAAAAAGAGATTTTATCACACTTCATGGTTAGCTGTCACAGACGGGTTCTATTGTTTTGTTAGGTATATGGTCAAAATTCTATTGTTCCGCAAACTTAAACATTCGTCAAACAGATTCTATTGTTTAATTAGGTATACGTTCAACATTTTATCGTTCAATGAACAAATAAGTTCAATAAATGTGTAAGTTTGATAAACATTCCATAATTGTTGGCAATTTATTGTAATAATATAAATAAATATTCTGAATTTTAATATAAATATTTATTTTTAATTAATATATTACTTAATAACAATAATTTATTACTTATACGTATAAATTTATGATTTGTTAATTTTAGTCACTCAATATTAATTTAAAAATATGGAGTACATTTTTTATTTTAAATAATACACTTAAATTTTATAAATAATTTAATTATTTAAATTCAAATTCAAATTCAAACACAATATCATTATAACGTTCAATCAAGAACTTAGATTAGTAATTTCAGTTATTATAAGCCCATTACAACTTTAATGACAATACAATAAGAAAATTAATAATAATTACAATAAATTAAATTGATTTCAATTAAAAATAAAAATTTTTACGTGTATTTTTTATTTTATACCTATACAAAACTAATATTCTATCAATTCAATGAACCCAAAAGAAGTTTCACTTCATCTGCACATACTTATAATACACATTGATTTTTTTTATAATAATTATTGCCTTTTTTAAACTATGATTAAAGCATATATTTTTATTATTTATCACTATGAATGAAAAAAATAAAAGATTTTTGAAAATTTATTTTTTTTTAATTTTGAAATAGCCATTTTTAGCAGTTTTCTTTTAAAATGAATAAAAATTTGATAGGTCGATGATAATTTTAGAACAATTACTTATCTAGTTTTAAGAATTTTAATGAGTGTAGAATGTGGGTGGAGTATATGTACACTAGTAAAGGCTGTACCCAGCCTAACTAATATTTTATTTAATGACATGCATTTAGCATGACAGTAACAATACCAAATCATATATCTTATATACGCGCTAAATTGAATCAAAAAGAGCATACTTTAGGTGGTAGATACATTGAATTCCAGTGAGTATCTAAGTATAAAAGTATATCAGAATCTACATCATAGTATTTCTGTGGCTTATACGCAGTCATATTAAATAAAGCTAAGTGTACTAGATCAGCCCATTCCATTTCAATACGGCGTACGAATTCATTTCCTTGAGTACAAACAGAACATAAAAACACATAAAACCTGTAACAAAAAAAATTATACAAATAAAATGTTTTTTTTTAATAGCAAAATGCAAAAATGATTGTAAAGAAGAAATAGTTAATGTTTTTCAGTCAACTTCGGTACTTTGAATTTTCAAAAAAATATCTTACAATATTTTTATATTAAAAGATTTTTTTTAATTTTAAACAATATTACTTTTCAATCAGGAAATCTTTAAAAATATTCTTTAACTTGTAAAAAGAAATATTTATAAAATTTAAGTTAATCAAAATACTACTACTATAACCAAAAATTGTCGAAACAACAGCTTTTGTGTTAAAAATAACATCATATTTTTTATATATAAATATTAAATTTTTTTTTTTACAACCGTTAGGCTGGTTAATACCAATTGGATCAGTATATTCTGGAAAATTTATAAGTGCAGTGATTTCCTATTACTTTCTGCACTGGACACATGATGTTTTTTTGCCACCGTAAAAAAGCACGTATAGTTACCCACTCGTTCATCTACAACGGTATGCACTGCTTAACACTAGAGTTTTGTCAACACTAATGTTACCACTGTGCAACACCATGCGCGGTAATATTAAATTCAATATTGATTTTTAATTAATTAATTAACTTTAAGAGGTTAGGGATAGTCAAAGGCATAAAAAATATTAGTTTTTTAAATAATTAATTTTTTTTTTGACAATAATTTAATTGACTTAATATAACTTATAATACAAAATAATTTATATTATGTTTAAGATTATTTGACAAAAAAGAAAAATATTATTGTAAGCCATTTTACAGCTATTATTGTTGGATCCTCTTTTAAAATTCATTCCTTGCGGTATCTATCATAAAATTTTACTAGCTCATATATAATCAATCAAATAAAAATAAATTACTAATTTAAAAGTTAATACATTACATGATCGAAGATTTATTTTATATATATAAACATAATGGTGGCTTCTGATAATTTATTCATCAATTTACTGCATATAAAAATACAATTTTTAATTAAAATAAAAAATCCATCATTCAGGTACTAGCTTTTTATGCTTTCAGTGAGCTGTATAAATTTCATTCAAATCAAGTGATTTTTGATTAATTAACTTTTATTTTTAGTTTATTAATAAGAATTAAAATATTCTATTTTAAGGTTCTATACTAAATAAAAATAATGACATTATTAATCTAGTAGTGATTCATAATTATAATTATAATAAATTTATAATAAAGATTTTTTTTAAAAAAAATTGAAAAATTGAATAAATAAATAAAATAGAAAAACAAAACTTAAAAACATTTCAACAAATTAAAATTTGTGATTATTATAAATTGAATATAAATAATATTTAATAGCCAAGTGATCATATTATAAGACAAATTCTTTCTGATTAAACTTATTCTAAATTAGTATGATGAGAAAAATTAATACTTAGAACTATAAGATGTTTTTTACAATATAATTATACAATAGTACAATGCTACTATAGCCGTAGTATGATTGGATTATACAAGTGAATCTATAATATTATGAAGATTATCAAATGTAAATAATTTATCAAAATTATTATTTTTGTCTCATTTATGTAAGATATATAACTAAAACATTATATTGATAAAAGAGCATATAATTTTTCAGAAAAATACAAAAAACCTTTTATACTCCATAAAAAAGCCAATTTAAAATTAAAAATAATATTTATTATATTTATAACTAACTAAAATATAACTAAAAACATTAAAAAAATAATAATATAATAACCCTATAAATATAATAGAATTTTTTGAATGTATACACGAATATATATACTTAATAATATAGAGTGGTCAACTCTATACTATACTTTTAAGAATAAACTAAAATGATTTAGTTGTTGATTTATAGTAACAGCGCTCAGAAATATTGACTTATAAATTAAATATCATCTACAACAATTTTCAGTCACACACATGATGAAATTAAATAATTTTTATATATAGTATCATTATGAATGTGTTAAAACTTTCATGGATTGTTTTGTTGCTTGAAGTGCTTGAGGATATATCCATGTTTACAGTTGAGTTGTGACGTTTCGGACTCAACTGTAAACATGGATATATCCTCAAGCACTTCAAGCAATATAGTATCATGTTATAAATACTATTAATTAAAAAAAAATTTAATTAATGATCTAAAAATTTCAACTATAATAATTAAATTTATGTGTTTTACCTGTCTCCAAGATAAAGTGGATATATTAACGAAGAGAGACATTTTTCATGAAACCATTGTAAACACTTGACACACTGTAACATTTTAATAAACCAATCGCCCGATCCTCCACAGTAACAGTATGTTCCAAGATTATTTATACGATGATGTATGTCCCATTGAAGAGAGTTTAACTATAAAAAAAAAGTACATATATTAAAAAGTTTAATTTTTACTAGTAGTAGTAATTTAACTATCAATATATCTCACATCATATGGTAATTTAGTGATTTTATGGACTTCAGTACTGGATACAGAATTGATCACCTGCAATCTACTGATTTGTTGTTTTTCTTTACACAAATAGCACATCCATGAAGAAATATCAGGGCAGGTAACTTCAGGCTAAATTCAAAAATTTAGTGCTATAATTTTATGGTAAAACTCTAATTTAATCAATTATATTATCTGTTAAAAGTAAACAGTTCAGAGAGTAAATGCAAATAAAAGAAATTGGAAGTAGTAAGAACAGTTGTAGAAATGAATTTTGAAGGAAGAAGAGGTAGAGGTAAACCCAAAAAAAGATAGAGGGATATTATTGAATGCAATATGATAACAGCTGATGTGATAGTAGATGATGTGGGAGATCGTATCAAGAGGAAGTTTAGGCCAAACCCAAGTAGTTGGGATTAGGGTGAGGAAAAAGATAAAAACTCATATGAATCATATGAATAAAAAAAAAAAATTAAAGTAAAATTAAAATGTAATGTTAATAAAAACTTTAAATGTTTAGAATATTGTTTGTAATATCTTACATTCATTAATTTAAATAATGCATATTTTTTTATAATTGTTTTAATCATGTCCATAAAAAATAAGCTGAAAATGATGTTATTAGATGGGCATAATTTACACTCAAAATATTACATAGTTTTTCGTTTGAACTTTAATTTTTAAATCTCGCAAATTAGAAAATTATATCTATTTTCTTGATAATTAATACAAATTTTATACAAGGTGATTCTTTTTATACTAGCCACTCTGTTTTTCTTTAAATAGTAATTATGTTAAAATAATTATTTTTGGTAAATAAATTTTATTTATATATTGATTAATCAGTTATTAATTACTTTAATTCATATCTTATACCTTATAAGAGTCTCAAAATAATTTTTTAAATTACAACATACATATTAGCTAGCTTATAAAATAAAAAATTACCTAATTAAGAAAATAACTGGTCGATAACTATTGAAATAAAATTGCGAAAGTTATAATTATTTTAAAATATATAAAGTAGAAGTGAGGTATGAATCAAGTTATTTTTATAATTACAGATTATCCTGTTGCGCTCTTCCTTCGTTATAAATTAAAAAAATTTAGTAACTTCTAAAATAAGGGTCCAAAAATTGTTATAAACTAGTCATTGACTTAAATAGATCATTATTTATAAATATAGCTAGTTAATTATGTATTCTCATTTGAAAAAATAAAGTTCACTTTTATAAGGTATAAGAAATAAATTTAAAAAATAATTAACTGATAAAACAAGAAATATATGATACTAAAAAATACCAAAAATAATTTTCTTAGCAAAATAATAATTTTTGGAGAAATCAAGTGGTTAAAGTTAAAAGAATCACTCTGTATACAAAATCATTATAATAAAATTATACATTAAACAATTAAAATACTGTTATCTTTTTTATTACCTTATGGCATTTTCGATGAAATACATTAGCACACTTATCACACACACATATTTCATTTTCTAAAGCTTCAATATTGCACACATTACAAAACTGAGCAGTTACACTAGTACAAGACATACGAGTTACACTTTTGAGTAACACCCATTTTACTGTACTATCACCAAACTTAACTAAACACTTTGATTCTTTGTATCTTAGCTGAAAAATTTGAGAAAATATTAAAAATGAAAATTAATAGGCAGGGCACAAGTAATATATATATCTGTGCAAAGGAATCAACGATTTGCATTAAATTAAATTTCAAATTTTTAATAGTCTTATTTATCTGAATTTTAGTTTAAGTCTTTCAAATCATGTATTTAAAATTACTGTGATTATTATTCTTTAAGTTTACATAGACTATAATAAATTAGTACTCTCTTCTTCTGAGATGATATAACTACATCAGAATTATTTTTTAATTTCGATATGAAGCTGAGAAGGTATTTTAATTTTACTATGATGTGTGTTTTTTTTTTTAAGTTTGGTGCCACCTTTTTTCAGCTCTTACTAAACCGATAATTTTCAACAATACATCGAATGATCAGAAATTGTATATGGTTGAAGAAATTGTACTTAAAAACTGAAAAAATTTCGCTCCTTTTTTGTAAATGTAGGAAATATTCCCAAAAAATTACAATTTTTAAAATTAGTAAATATTAACATTTTTTTTTTCTTAAAACTGCCATAACTTTTTCAAAAATTAACAAATCTAAATAATTTTTTTTTAAATAGATATTTTTCTATCATTTGATATAAATTTTTGAAAACCTGACCCTTAACCTGACTACAAGGCAGATTTATTAAATATTTAATAAATAAATTTAAATTTATTAAATAGTTATCCATATATTACACTTATAAATCATAAAACTGCCTAGGCTACAGTTTTTTATATATTATTTATTATTATAGTCCTGACATTTTTCTAATTAAAAAAATTTTAGCCTTTATAAGGCAATGGAAGGATGTGAAATTAAAATTTTTTGAATATGTTTCAGACAAAAATAAACATTAAATCAAATATTTTTTTCTAATTGCTTTTATGGCTCATAGAGAGCCATATTGGCCTTTTCCTAAGAGGAAATTTCTTAAACAATGAATACTTCAGAACTAGATATTTTGTATTCAAATTTTTTTTATTCATAAGTTGGGTATTATTAATTAAGAAAAAAATAATGAATGTATACTTTAGCTATGAATCCAAGATAAAATCTATCATCCTTCAAATGAACTAGAACTTCTTCTCCACAAACATAACTTTTATTTTCTATTGTTGTACTATCAGGAATGGGAGCTTCAGAGCTCTCTCTTTTAATCTATATTCAAAAATATTAAAGATTAATAAAATTACTTAATTATGATTTGATTATACATATTTTTTATTTATTAGTAATTTATAAACAAAAAACAATACTATACAAGAGTTATTTAATTTTTTAGTGTTATTTAATTAAATACAAATTTAGAATTTAAATGATTGGAAAATGAGTAAATAAAGATACAAATCTTAATCTTAGGGTTTCTAATAATAATGGACTTGATTATCTTGATATTTTAAAGATTAGGTTTAATTTTAACAATTATAAAGTGAAAATAAATAAAAACTATTTTATTTTTATATTAATTAAAGAAAAATATAAATTAATTATTTTCTAAGAAAGAAAATTTTTAAACTTCAATATATTAATTTTAAATGAATAACTATATAAAGATTAAATAGAAAAAATTAAACAATAACTGTAAATTAGAAACAGTAGTCAATTGAACCGTAATAAGTTTCCTCATCACACTTAAATAAAAATTACTCACAGTATCTTTTTTAATCTGCAACATTGTCAGCTATTCATTTTCAAATTTACCTAAAAAAAAAGTATTTTAGAAATAAATTTAAAGAATTAAAAGAATACCTGAAGTAATTTCATTCAAAAAGAAACAAATGATAATAAAGTTATTCATACAAGTTATATTAAAAAGAATTGGCTAACTTAAAATTAACTTTAAAAAAAACAGACTTATTTAATATTTTAAGCCTTTAACAGATATTGTACCGAAAAGATTTACCAAGTCTATAAAAGAATAATTTCTTAGAAAAGTTATGCAAATATTGGACATTACAAAAATGATAGCTACCAAATAAATTATTTCATATATCATTTTTAATTGAAAAAGTACTTTTTAACCATTAATACTGTAATGACTAGCAATACAAAGTCTGTGTTATGAACGAGAACAATAATTGAGATATGAAAAATATTGTTTAGGTTTTAAATTCTTCAAAACACTTGAAATAAATTTTACAAAATATAGGATTTTTGTCGACATTGTTGAGCAGGAATAATAACTTACTTATTCATTTAAACAAATGAATGTAAAAACCAATAAAGAATTATTTTGAAACTAAAGTATTTCAATAATGAAAAAACGGTACCTAATTAGCTAAAAAATTTTATTATATAACATCTAACAATATTCTTCAATCTAGTATTAATATTATCATCAAAAATATCATATAGATTCACAACCACAAAATATTTTTTGTTAATTTGACAAGTATTAAAACACTACTTAAAACAAATAAATGTATTTAAAAAGAAATTTATAGACATAAAATATAATTTAAATACTATAAAATTTAACGGTTTAATGTTTGAAATATAATAAAACAATAGACATTCTGTGATTGTATTCTTCACCATATTGTTTGAAATACAAGTATTTACTGACAGTATTTTGATTTATTCATTTTCTGTCAAATCTAACACTAAAATCCAATAACTATACTACGTCCCAAAGTATTCTAATTAAAATTTTAAAAGTTTTCAAAAAAAATTACGACACTCACAAGTGAATTTGTTATTGTTTTCTGGGATGTATTAAAAATTACTTATCATTAAATCAAAAACTTACTATATTTAACGAAGTCGAACGACGATGACGATCAACAACGGCTATTAGTCTTTAATTTTCTGATTACATTGTTGATTGAACGTGATCACATTTGACAATGCAGCTTACATTTAACTCTCTTCAGCCAATGCTTGATTTTCATAATTTTTAATATTATACAACACAAACCCTAGCTGATCAGTGAACTGCTCAGTGAACTGCAGTAGTGTACAGCGAGTTTGACAATACTTCAAATACGCCGGGTGGCACCACTGCGCACTGCAGAGCCCACAGTGTTATCAATCGGGTGAACCCTATTGAAAACTTGAATAATACAGTAGTAAATTATTATTGTACCTATAGTTGGTATATAACTCAATAAATTATAAAAATATTATTTCGTTATATTAATGAAACGTAGGTAGAGACTTGCTGCTTAACAATTTTTTTGACAAATCAATGTATCAAAATTTACTAAAACATAAACCTATAGGACTACTGTAAGGGGTTGATCTACACTACCTATATTTTAAAGTAGCTTATGAAAATTTATCAATATTTGTTTAAAATTAATGAATTTAATGAACTATTCACATTTTTATAAAATACCAAAAATGAGTGATCAACATAAATAATTTATTAGGAGTATATACTTAGGTTCCAATAAGTATAAGTTTAAGAAGTAAACTTCTTAATACTACAAAATAAACTTCTTAGAAATCCTTCTACTCCCTCTACCAAATGAATTTATGTTTTAAACTATAAAAAATTTTAATTCTCTATGCCATTTTTATTGATATATTTGGATCTAACCTTGGATATTATCAGTTATTTAGATATATATATATATATATATATAACATCTATTCATAATTATCAATGTTATCCTTAGTGTATTATTGAGATTCTCTAATATTTTCTATGCATTTTTGTTTTTAACAGTATTTTTCAACTTTTCCCTAGTGACGACCCCTTATTAGATTTTCAATTTTTGAGCGACCCTTATTCCATTGCGTCTATTGAATATGAACTAATTTTGTAAAATTTTATAGACAGATTACAACCATGAAACAGTCCTAAACCCCGGTTAAAAAATCACTAGTTTCCATACATTATATTATTATGCAAATCTAGCTAATCTAATTAGACAATAATATTTTGCCGTCTTGACATTTATAAAATTAAAGAATTATAAAATGTAAATAAACAGATTTTCAAAAGTTAGAAAACAAGTCAATTGTTACGAACGATGACAATAGAAACCTTTTCCCTTACTTACTGAACACTTTTTATAATTAAAAAAGGATTATATTATTTATATTAGAACAAATGATCTCTATGGATTTTTTTTTTGTAAAAATAGGGTTTCTTAACAATTGATTTTTGAAATTTCTGATTGGTAACAATCTTATTTATTGAAATATTACTGAATATACTATAAGATAATTGGAACACGGGGAATGTGATACTATTGTAAAACATACTTTGGTCCTCAAATATCCATAAAATTTTCATTGTCAATCTGCATAAAAAAATAATTCATGTTTGTAACAATTTTCGTCTTATTATTTGTCTAAATTAAGCATTGTACTGCGATGATTATAAATGCATAATTTAAAAACATTCGTAAATATTATGATTTATAAAAACATAAGAAAGCAATAATATATGTGTTTAATAGTGTTAAAAATTACTAATTGTAGAGGCAGACAAAATTAATGAATTGATAACGAATAATTAACAAGTTAGTATTAGACTATGGATTAAATAAATCTAAGGAATTATTACATTTATTTTTTATATAATATATATTTTGGTATAGACATTGTCAATAATTGATGGATAACAATAAGAAGGGAGTAGGAGAAATAAAAAGTTGATAGGAATATTACTACATGAGAATTCTTAGAATTTAAATAGACGTATTAGTCACATAAAAACTTTTATACATGATTGTATTTTATAAGTGTCCTTTAAAATTCCATATTTTTTGTTAAATATAAAAATTTATAATAAGAAAAACATAATTTTAATAGTAGTAATATCTTGTCAAAAATAGTTAATTTTTTTTAAAAGAGTAATTATTTAAAAAAAACCTAATGTATTACCTAAGAATATACTAATTTACCGTTAAATTTAAAAAAAAAATCACAATTTTAATTTAAAAATGAATTTGATCTAAATTATATAACCAATATTTGTGAAAAGTTTTCTTCAGAGAAAATTTAATCTTGTAGATCTACCAAATAATTATTTAAAGCATGTAAGTATGATTTTTTAATTAAAGTGTGGTATGGTACATGAAAATGATGTCCATAAGTTTCTGAAACCAATATACATATTATTGCAACATAAAACCTTACATATTTACTATTGTAAATAGTAAATAACTACAATTAAAACATCATCTTCAGCAGTTACCTTCCTTGAGTTATTTTTATGACCGTCTTGGTGGTTTATGGTACCATAAAGTTTCCCAGGGCAGTATTAATTTAGCACTTTTTTCACAAGTCTTATATAAAAAGGCATGGTAAGCCCCCTAAAAAAATATGTATAAAGTTGTATACTAAAAATACCTTTTAGGGAGAAAAAAAGCTAAATCAGCTCTCCCAAATGTTTTTTTTTAGTTAGTAAAAAACTAGATAATTTGTGAATAATTTATAAGATTGTAATTCTATATAGTTTTTTACTAGTCTTATGAACTCATCCCATGTAATCCACTAGTTAGAAAAAGAAAACTTAGATTATACGTGAATACAAAAACATAGAACTACTTAAATTTTTTAAAACAAGTTAATACATTTTTTTCAAAAAAAAGAAAATAAATAAAACAATAATGTTATAAAACTAATGCATTATGAATAAATTGAATTATTATATTGCAAATTATAATATAATGATAATAATAATTATATAGATTTTTATAAGCTATTGAATATCTTATAATATATTTTTAATAATTAATAACATTCGAATTTTATTAACATAATTTTATTTCAACTCGGATAAAATATTTGTGAAAAGTATCTTTGGTTAATATGCCTCAAATCATAGCAATGTTCTTATTATTGCACCCTGGGTAAACTTTCCCAGGTAACCTCTTATGTAGACATGCTACTGTATATACACATTGTACATACAATGTATAAATAACTATTTATTTTTTACCAATAAAAAATACATGCAATATGTTTGTTACAGAGAATAAAAACCATGAATCATGTTGATAAAGAACGAAATAACAACGTCAAATCTACTATTTCTCAAGTAAGACATAGTCTCTAAAATTTATTTGAAAAAAGTTTTTTTATTATGACATAATGTAACGGATTTAATAAAACAAACATTATCTAATCTAAAAATACATAATTTTTTCATCGAAAAAAGCTATTAGTTCATGTGTCAATGAATCGTATTATAAAAATAAAAAAGTCATAGGTATTAACGTAATTTACAACATTATAAAAAGTAGATCATAGTATTAGTTCAACATAATATTGGCTCACTTTAAAATTAAGTACACGGGATAACAAAAAAAAATTAAATTACTATAATAAATCATTCAGATTGTTTTGACATGATATTTTATTGTGTGATAAAAAGACGATATTTATATTTTAATTCGCAATTTGCAATAATAATGTAAAAGTAATGTTATATTTAAATCCACATAAAAAAGAACAATAATTGAATCACGTGATGTTTGTATGTCTGATATAATAATAAAAATGTTAGTTTGGGATTATTGTTAATATGTCGTCAAAGTTCAAAAGTTATTTAACTTTAAATGTTTATATTGATTATAAATGTTAATTTTACATATTCTAGTTCATTTTTATAAATCTTGATAACTAAATCATATACTAGGAAACATAAGTGATCTAAGATTTATAATTTTAAGAAATGAGCAAATTTTGAGTGCCCAATAAATGAATGTGGAACTCAAATTTTGTATAAATATTAGTATAGCTAGTTTATTTGAACATTTGTTATTTGATAAAAATGTAATGGACATGAAAAAGAATCATGTGTTAAATGTTATAAATTTATCTAAAGCAATTATAGAAGCAGCCAAACAAGTCATTCGTAAGTCTGACCGCTTAGTAATTTCAACATAGTCGCTTGATAGAGTATAAAATTTCCAGTTGAAATTACTCAAGCATCTCCAAAACATTTCCAGAACAATAACAGAAATTCGAACCACAATGATAATTTTATTAATTACAAGAACTCCAAAGATAACCTTATCAATACAAACACATACATACACAATAACAATCGAAATTACAATCCACCTATTACTATAAAAGAGCTTTACAATAAATTAAATAATTGTAATAGTAATATATAGTTACGATATACAATATAGCTTTATCAAAAATCCAACTGAGTATTCTCTATAAAATATATATATATATATATATATTTAATATATAATAGATGTAAATAATTACCTTATCTAGCCTTAAGGAGAATTTCCTGATACCTATATTAAATTTAAATGAGGATAAATTTACTTTCACTAGTTATCGCCTATATAACTCATCTGCACACTTTGCAAGCTATTAGAAAAATTATTAATAAGCGTTTAGTTTGGTACGTCACATAATTCACCAAACAGCAATACGACTTTTTATCTATACTACACACCAACATTAACCATTCTATACAAAAAAATGAACACACTTTTCTAGTAGCTCTTGATCTAGGAAGGTTTAGGATATGGTGTGGAAAACAGAGACATTATTATATTTGCTAAATGGTCCATTGATGGCAAAAACCTAAAATTCATATACAATTTTTTAGTTAATAGATCGTCTTGAATCAAAATTGATAACGTATTTTCTAAACAAACAATAATTGTTGACTACACTATTTCTAGTAGCCATACAATTAAATTTTTACAGACATACAAAAACCAGTTAAATACACTACTACCTATAAAAAATACAAACATCCGTTTACAATCAAGGAAGCATATGTACAAATGTGCAATAATACAGATTCCAATTTAATCCCGAGATAAAATTTCCTTTTACAAAAATTTCATTCTGGCTCATCAATTCTTCAGATCACATCTATTTATGCAATCCCGAAAAATATTACTGCACCTCATTCCATAATATTTTAATGATAAAATTATGTCTAACTTCAGCGACTTCAGTCTTTCAAGTTATCCTCTGTCCAACAGTAATTATTATCAGCGACTTATTAGGCTTCTTAAGATCACTACAATCACAGAACTTATCAAATGAAATTAGACTATAAAGTTTGAATATCATAGCCAGATCACAAAAAATTATTGTATTTATGTGAATTCCATCTTACACTAGTATCATACTGGTAAACAATGAACTCATTAGCCATAGGCGATATTTAGCTACAAGCTATATCTTCCCTTAACTAAACACTTATAAACAGATTCCAGTATAAAGATGTAGTCAAAAAATAGATATTAACACCATTCAAGATTAGCAGCTTATATTGGATAGCATATTGCTACTCAATAGACTAAAAAACATTAAGAAAACTGTAAAAGTATGGCCAATGACATTTAACATGGAAAAAATTTGGGAGAACATAATAACAATTTTATATATAACTACTTTAATAAAATTAACTTCACTAATAAATTGTAAATCATATTAAGATATGAAAATTGTATATATCATGTGTACAAATTTCTTAATAACTTTTATGAAGTAAATTTATAGTCAATGACCTTAGTAAATGAAACCTTTCCTTCTAATAAAAAAAAATGATTTAACAATTTAAAAATTAAAATCTTTTAAAAAAATTAATTTACAACACAATTCTGTTTAACATGTTGACATGAAACAATAATCAAAAGTTAAGTCACACAATTCTTCAATATACATTAAAGCTGTATAAGTATAAAATTTAAATCTTAATACATGAAAATTCTGTTTTTTTTTTTTTTTATTGCAATTATTTTAATTCATAAATTAAAATATTACAAATAATAAAAATAAAATCCATTTCAATATAAAAAAAAAATTTTTAATCTAATTTTTTATCACAGTGCGTTGCAATATTGGGAGCTTGTTTTTTGCAAGTTGGAATTGGTACTGAAATGATGTCTCCCACCATTATTATTGGAACACTGGTGAATAATACAGTAACCGATATACACGATCCAATGTATCTAACAATGGAACAAGCTTCATGGTTTGGTCAGAAAATATTTTTTAATATCTCATATATCATTGAATGAAAAATAAAATTGTTAACTCGTATTATTCGTGTTTTCTAGGTAGCCTATTGTATTTATGTACACCACTTGGAAGTATTTTGTCATCACTATCACTAAGCCGTTTGGGACATAAAAAATGTATGCTTTTGACGAACATACCATATTTAGCTGCGTTAGTGATGTTTTACTATTCTAGAAATATCGCAACACTTTATGCTTGTTCGATTATTATGGGACTGAGTATGGGATATGCGGGTGGTCCAAGCACATCGTACATAACAGAAGTGTGTGAACCTAAGCTAAGAGGATCTTTGACTTCAGCTCAAAACGTTTTCTTCTACTTAGGTTCTCTCTTAACGAGTGCTATTTATGCGTATACAAAAGATTGGCGACTAACTTTAATCTTAACATCAGTAATACCAATTATTAATACTGCACTTTTGTTAATGGTATTCATTAAACGATAATCAACAGTTTATGATTCAATATTAATTATTTTTTTACTAATTTCAGACACCAGATTCTCCTGTATGGCTTTTAACGAGAGATAAATCTGAAAAAGCTCGCCGCATGCTAAGAAAACTTAGAGGTTGGGCTCCTCGTGAAAATTGTGAAAGTGAATTTCAGGAAATGATCGTGTACACATCTGTAGATTATGGTCAGAACACATACATACTAAACTAGTAGAAATAAACTATTGACTAGGATCATATTTAAGTTATTTTTTTATGAATAAATGATCATATATTTGAAATCTTAAAACTTTAAAATCTAATTAAAAAAAAAACAATTTCAATCTACGCAGATTCAGAAACTTATCATCAGTACCTTAAATTAAACGCCATCTGAAAACTAAACAACAATTTATTAGCAATTTAATCGTTATTTTTATGCATTCCCAGTTTTTAAAGATTTTTTTATTATAAGTACTAATATACGATTTTTGACACATTAGAATGAAAGTGTTTTTATTTTGAAACCATTTTTGTTTAAGCAAATCTTTCATATATATAAAATTAAAACTATAAAAAGCTTATTAGCATTTTTTTTTTTATTATGCAGATGACAAAGACGATAATGACAACCAAACGATAAGTACTTGGAAGTTATTGAAGCAACCAAATGTACTAAGACCATTTCGTTTACTAATTTTCTATTTTATATTTGCAAATACCCTTTCATCTGTCCAATATAATCCTTATCTAGTACAAGTTTTAACCAAATTCGGCGCTCCTGTTAACATTGAATGGACAATAGTAAGTTTAAAAAAATGGTTTGTAGTGTAATCAGTACGTATCAGTAATAATCAATTTACATAGACTTTTTCAGTTATGCTATCAATAAGTGGAGGTATACTTACAATTTTTACAGTTCACATAAGTGGAAAAAGATTACTTACTTTGGTAACACTAATGGTGAGCTCGCTTTGTTATATATTAGTCGGATCAATTGGGATGTTTAATCCAATGATGGAGCCAACGAAATCATGGATAGTTATGATACTTTTTTTAATTTCCATCTTTTCAGCATCTTATGGTATAGTACCATTGGGATGGGTATTACTTGGTGAATTATTTCCTTTACAGTAAGTCTAATTAAAAAACATTGTAATCTAATCATTTAATTTAATTATATTGCTATAACAAGGTTCATAATTAAACTTGAAATTTCAAATCTAATCTACTAACTACCAAATAACCTTTTTTTTTTGTGGAATTCCAAAACCGCTAAAATAGCGTGGGACTTTTAACGGGCACACAACTAATCCGGATCCTGTTTGTAGTGTGTAAATTTGAATAAAATTAATTAGATATTATTCATCAAAATAAATATACGCTGAATGATTTTAGTCTGCTTTACTAACAATAAAGGCTTACAAAAAATTTATTAAAAATTACCCATTAATAAATTTAAAAAAAAACTGAAAAAATTGTCATAAAACTTTAAATTGCTTTTATCAGCGTTTTATTATAACAATTATTCTGAAGAAAAAAAATTTGAGTTTTTACTTTTACTGCGAGGACGTGACTTTTTTTTTGTGCCTGTCACTACTTTTACTCAGCTCTCACCGGACCGATTTTTTCAACGATACGTCAAAAGATTACAAATCGTATCTAGTTGAAGACATTACTCTAAAAAATAAAAAATTTTGCCCTCGTTCCGCGTAAATAGTGAAAACCTCTCAAAAATGACGATTTTTAAAATCGGTAAATTTCGACATTTTTTTTTCTAAATATTACCATAACTTATTGAAAAATGAACAAATTAAAATAATTATTTTTTAAATTAAAACATTAGAAATTTTCCTTTTATTTGATATAAATTTTTTGAAAATCTGACCCTTTATCTGTCCAGAGGGGGGATTCAAAATAGTAACTTCTGCACAAAAATTTAACTTTTTCAACTTAAGTTTTGGAAATGTTCCAGGAATACTCCAGGCTTCAAACATATGCTAAAATAAAGCTAATGTTATGTACTATAAGTTAAAAAAAAGAATTTGTTTCGACGACTTATCTTCTATGTGAAAACGGTTCCCGTGGAAAAAAAAAATTCAATTTTGGTGTTAAAATTTACGATTTCAGATTTTGAATGCGACGAACGTTTGCCGATTCAGTAGAAATCATTGCCTGTGGTAATGATAGTTTTGAAATTTTTCCTTAATTGTTTTTGAGTTAGAATTTTGCTTTTGAAAAATCCATCAATTTCTAAAAACTAATCACTATCTACAGATTTGCATCGAAGCGTTTTTATGATAGTGATTTTAATCACTGTCAGATATTATCTATACTAGTCCCCAACTATGCCACACTCACACTGTGCCGCGACCTCACTGTGTTACCGTTTTTTTCTTAACTAAGCTGCTTCGAAAAAGTAGAACACACAAATGGAATAAATGTTTTTGAAAACTTAAATGCGTGTATTGTGATAAATTCAATTTATTCTTAAAACACATAAATGTTAGGATTTATTATTCAAATCCTTTTATTAACATAAACCTAGTTAATTTAAAATATTGAAACTTTTAATAGAATATGGCTCAATATTTTATTATTATTTCATTTTTTGTAGAACAAGACATATAACTTGCAGCACGTGTGCATCTCTTTCATATCTCATTACTTTTGTTTTGACCAAATTCTATCCAGATTTTGAAAGCGCAGTTGGATTTTATAATGGATTTATTATATTTGGAACTACGGGATTACTCGGTTGTGTTTATTTCTACATGTATCTACCAGAAACAGAAAATAAAACCTTACAAGAAATTGAAGAATCATTCAAATGAAACACGTCACGTAAAAGTCCTGAAGAATGACGGGTACCTATGCCACAAGGCCTAGTCAGACAACAATCATTAATGTATTAAAAATAATTTATACAATAATATATATTTGTATGAAAATGTATTTTAATTTGATAACTGTGTATTAATAGAAAGATTATTGTATAATACTTATAAATAAGTATTTTAAGTTGTGAAGTATATAATATGTTCTAATAAAAAACTCATTGCAATAAAAACTCTATGGCCCTCCATAATTATATAATTACTAAAACTAAATGTTTTAATCTAATTTTATTTTAATTGATACACGATTAGTAATCATACTTTCGTAAAACTTTTCAAAGTGGAAATAAACAAATTCATCTTCTTTTTCCTCTTTTTCGCTTTTCTTACAACTATTTTTGGTTGACCGAAAAACAGATTATTACTAAAATAATTCTAATGAAACTAATAGAAAATATGTAGATTTGTGTTTATTTTTTAATAATATTATCTACATTTTACATTCGAATTTACGTACGTTATACCAAGAAATTATAAAAACTCAGCCCATATTACACATAATATAAAAATATTATCACAAAACTTTTTCTAAAATTATTTTGACGATAATAAAAAAAAATTTTTATTTATTTTTTAATGAAACATTAAATGTCTTTTTGATTGAATAAAAATTAATTTTCACTACATATCTTAGATTATAAATAAAATTAGCATTTAACGAGGAATGAACTAGCTCAAAGTGTGGCTCAGTCAACAAGAATGTGAATTGACAAGTCCTAATTTTCTTTAAAACTTACTTTAGGTCAAAAGCCCAAGTTGCCACCTCGAAATAACGCCCCCGTGTGAAGTTAAGGAAAAATCTATTTAATCCAACTAAACATAATTGATACTTGTGCACATAAAGATATGGTTTCATCTTTTTAAATTATTTGGCAATATCATATTATTGGTTGTTGTATTTATCTCTTCATCTTTGGTAATTCATCATTTGCGATAATAGTTTTGCTATCTATAATATCTTGTAAACTAATGGGAGGCATCTGTCTGAAACGTCATGAAGTGTGGTCGTAGTAAAAAAGTTAAATGATTTGATTGTTGGATTGGTTTTTAGTTTTCACACATATTCCTGTGATTTCCGGTTCAGCGTATTTTTAGATCAATTTGTGTATTTATGTAGTAACTTCACCATACTAAACTGGTCACCGTTTTATGGACAATTGCGTGTGCTGTAAAATAAAACGCTGGACGCCGTTCAGTGAACTGTGTTTTTGATCATAATCGCAATATGCCAGCTGATGTCTGTAATTACTATATCGTTGTCCCTGACGTTTTGCTCCGTTATGCCGTATAATAACCAACACCACTGGTAGCAATAGTGACGATGTACTTAAAATTATGATCTGCCTAACAAATTACGATAGGAGAAGAGGTTGCGCAAACGGAGAATTTTGGGGGGAAACGACAAAACCGATTTAAATTTTTAACGGTCGCTAGTAGAAGAAACAGGAGAAGAATACTTAAATAATAACAATAACTATAAACCGACAACGTCCAATAAGATGGACGTGACAAAGTGCAAGGTGCGTCGCCGTCGTTGAGCGCCCCACCGCAACGCGCGCTTGGTGGCCTTCCGGCGTCTGACGTCTCCAGCCGACAACGTTCGAACAGTTCATGCGTTCCCGGCGTACGAGCGTGACATTGGTTCTTCGTTGCCTTGCGCCATTTGTGATACGAATGTGTGCCGTTGAAACATCTGATTTCCGTACGTTAAGTTTTAATAATAATTAATAAAAATTCGTTTTAAACCAAATTATTAAAATTAGTGTCGCGATGTGTTCTTTATAGTGTTTTGACATAACAATGAGCTTCAACAGGTCAACGATGACCGCCACTAGGAGGTCGAGGCGTTCTAATAAACTTGTGTATCCATGTCGAGTGGAAGGATGGCTCAATGTATACGGTAAGAAAATGAAAAAAAATTAATTGTTATTAATTGTCTATTATTTTAGTCACTAAAATAATAATGGAGGTATTTCTCCGTATTATTCCAATACGTGGGAATGGTCGTTGAACAATTGAAATATTGGTAATTAATTTACAAAATTAATGGTAATATTGTTAAAAAGCTATTATACTAAATGTGTGAAAATTAAATTAAACGCGATTGTCTTAGTATTTAAATTGAAAATTTTGCTGCCCAGATTGTTTGTATATAATTAAATTTAAGTCATGCTGTATGACTAAGAAAAATTAATAGTAGATTATCATAATGCAATCATTACCGCATTGACCAATGTGTTCATAAACAGTTATTCCGTTTGTCCAAAGTTATTTTATTTATCCTTAACGTAAAATTGTACTTTGAATACTAATATAATATTCTTTTGCCCGCATAATTAATAAATTAACTTTGGAATTTAAAACAACAAAATTACTTCAACATAAAAAAATCAACATAATATTTTTAAATTTTGTATAAAACATTATTTAATGAGAATAATGCAAATCACAATAAATTAGCATTTGCATGTGTTAAATTTGAAATTATTTTGGAAGTATCAACGTTGCTGAATGCTCTTTTCAGTTCGGTTTGTTGATGACTACAACATTCGATTGTTATATTGTTGTTATAATGAAAAATATACTTAGTATTAAATTTTTCTATTTTACTGTAGTTGAATTCCACGCAAAATATACACGTTAGTTAGCAATAATGCTTGACACACGAATTATATAAATTTTATTTTGCATTATTCGATTTTTAACTTTGTCCATTATACTTATATATAATTATAGATATATATATAATTTTATAATCACTATGTTTAAACTCTAATTTCAATAATATTATTAAACAAAAAAATTGCATTAAATGGTAGAAAAATTAGGGGAATTAATTGGAGTAATTACATTATCCCATTAAGTCACTCATTTTGGCGTTCATAGGAAGATACCTATATCTTGAATTACGATTTAATTTTATAAATTATCCTCTAGAAAAAAATGAACATTTGTTTAATAATTTTTACTGTTTGTACATATTAAAGAAGAATTCTTGAATTTTACCGAAATTTATTAAATGGTTTATAAAATGCTAAAAGTTATCATCATACTTTTCCCTTATCTATTAAATATTTCACATCTTTATTTAATTTATTTTAAAATGTTTTCAATGTATTAGTGTGTAATCAATTATGTCAATTTGTTTTGTATGATATAATACATTAAAAAAGTTTATTAAAAGTCGTATTTAAAATTAAAATTTTATTATATTCATTCATATGATGATATAACTGCTGTTTTTTGTTTTCTCTTAATAATAATATGCACATAATAATCGATTTTCAAATTTTAAGTATTTCATATAAATAGTAAATACATGAAATGTGTAGAAGTTGTTGACATTTATTATAATAATTGGCTACTCATCAAAATAAGTTAATAAATACTAATTTATAACTCTAAACGGATCAGATTACAATTTAAATGTATAAAATACTTTCTTATAATATCGATATTATGAAATTCATATCATAATATTGAATCATCATAATTGAGCATTCATTAATCAATTATAATTTCTAAGTATATTATATGTTATTTTCATTACATTCTGTAATAATTCTAAGATAATATGCGTCACTTGAATGATAATATTTAATTTATCATCTTAATTTATACTTAAAAGATCATTTTATAGTCCGCCGACCAATTTGTATGTAATTATTCATTATTAATTTTAATATCATATGCTGAATTGTAAACCAATATAAATATTTAATTATGAAATTGAAAGATAATGCATTTATTGATATGAATATAACAAAATCATGCTCAAAGTAGCGGCATGTATCTGTCAAAATATCTAATAATAAGAACTGTAAATACTAAGGTTATGAATGAAATAAAAACACATAATTTTCCAGAAACCAGTTGATACTATGAGTACATTGCATATATTACACGGAATAATATCGTGTTCGATTTTTCTCTAGAAATGTTTATCATATAATCATTAAAATTGTTATTTTAAAGTTCCTGTTGTATGGTTATTATACTGTATACCTGTTGAACACTGCAATCAACTTTTTATAAAAACTTGTTCTTGCATGTAAATAAAAACTTTGAATTCGATGATACACTATTTAATAATATTTTTATTAGAATTTCAAACTATAGTATGTTGAAATATAATTTTAGGTTCGAGTATCATATCTTTTTTATTGTTATTGGTGCAACTTTGATTCTTATAGTTTTGTGTAATATGAGTATTAGTGTTTTTTTCCTATCAATTTTTTTCATTATTACTTCTTATGATATCACTTTTTACCTACCTTAAAGTACCACAGGATTACCATCTTTCTTAAGTTGAATAAACTATGTGCATTTCACTATAAATTATAAATGTTATCTAATCATGTATTCTAATCATAAGTAATCGTCATTTAGTTGATAACAAGTGGTAATTTTTTTTATGTTTAATTATAATAATTTCAAAAATGTGATCTAGAGTCTATATTGATCTATTTTATTACCCAAGTATTATTCAGACTATGTTATACAAACTGATAAAATATATTTTACAGAAAAATTATCATACAAATTGATAAGAAAAGAATCGTTTCAAAATAATTGATTTGTGAATTTAAAAAAAAATATATAAATTATCTCTCCTCTATTTCATTTTGCATTAATTAAATTCATTAATTGTTCAAATTGATGATAAATATTGTATTACGAGGAAAATAAAATATCACTATTAACTAGTAGGTGTAATAAATAACTACCTAAATGTCACATATAGAGTTAATCATTTTTGTTTGTGTTTTATATTATTATTTATTAATTTTAGCTGTACATTTACAACACTGATTTATTTTCCGATTAGTTTATCAACAATATACTTTTTTTTTTTACTATAGTAATACTGTGTCTTGAATATTTCATAACATAAATTAACAATGTTTAAAACCCGGTAAAGGCTATTATACTTGATATATTTTTTATTCAAATCTACTGGATGATTTTATAGTTTTTTTATGGTACATAAAAGAGTTAAGAAAGAAGTCATGATAATTCCATTCTTATACGATACTAAAATTCAGATGAAAATATTCAAAAATAAGATATAGAACTCATATCTTACTTGTTCTGATTCGTTTAGTGTTAAAATCATTATGACTCACGACTAATTTTGAAACGATAGAGAAAAACGAAGAAGTGATCAATGTAGGAGCTGAATAAACTGTTAATGAGAATGAGCAAATGTGTAT